AGCTAAGCCAGGATTATGTGACTTCGGGGGGGAGGGGAGGGGAAACCTTCCCATGGAGGAAATGATCCTGGGCTTCTAGGCCAGCCCACATCTTCCTTGCAGTGTGACCTGAGGCATACAACTCAAACCTTCAGACTGTTTAGGCTTCTGTAAAAGCAAGAAGATGACACTTCCCAGAGGTGTTGGGAGGATTGAAACACTATCTCTCTGCATCAGGTCCCCTAGAAAGTAGGTATGGGACAGAGGTCAGCACTCTTCCAGCTGGCATTTCCTGTGGATGAACAAATTGGAAAGAAACTAGCATACAGGTAGTGAGGAAGAGAGTGGGTTTGGCTTGAGAAGGTTTACAGGCTCTGAGGAGAACCCAGAGGATATATGTCCCAAGAAATGCATAGCACCACAGTGAGGGCCACGGCAAGCCATCAGGCAAGAAGACAAATGTCTTCAGCTGAAGAGACTGCTTTTGGAAGGGCAGCCAAAGGAGACAGGGCCAAGGTCCCTGCAGGCAGGTGGGACAGCTGCCAACCACTCAGCTGATTGTGCCCAGCCTGCAGGACAACAGAAGGACAAACAGTGCTGATGATGGAACTGACCAGGCCAAAAAGATACTGAAAGGCTCCTTGGATGTGTGCAATGGTTTTGTGTCTTTCTTTTTCACAAGGTATTGGGGATTGAATCCAGGGCCTGCACATGCTAGACAAGCACTTTACCACTGAACAATACTCCCATCTCTTTTTATTTCCCTTTGTGACAGGATCTCGTTAAGTTCCGCAGGCTGGCCTCAAACTTGGGAAGCTACTCAGCTTCCCAGGTAACTGAGAAGACACGGGGATTATGGGTATGAGCCACTATGCCTGGCAATAATGATTTCCTTGTACTATGTACAATACACATTAATTATAATAATTATTTTAAAATATATGTATGATAACATAATTATAGTTAACATGTATTGAGTGTCAGGCTTTATTTCAAAGTGCTCTATCAGAACTAGCAAACTCTTCAGAATCATTCCTCCAAAAGAGGTGTTGTAAATTAATACTTTACAGGTGAGAAAACTGAGTCACAGAGTGGTTAAATGACTTGCCCAAAGAAACACAGCTGGAAAGTGACAAGGTGGCATCAAATTCAAGATTCCAAGCAGTAAGGGTCCAGAGCAAATAATATCAGTTACCATTCTTCTTTCTGTTTGATATTCTCATGCCATTGGATGGTGACCAAGGCTGACATCTGTCTGTACTCCTGAGTCCTGCTTTCAATGTTATTTCATACTGGACCAGCTAAACCTGAGGTCCACAGTTGCTTTGTCAGCTTCCCAGCGGTCCCAAAGTGCCCACCACACCCACTAAAGGCTGCTCACCTGAGTGCCCATGCCCCATCACATGAGCCTCAGCTTATCAGAGCCTAAGAAGCTACCACAGGCCTGTCAGAGGCTGTGGGCTGGCTAGAAGGACCTGCTGGTGTCTGACTGGTCCCATTAGACACAAAGAGAGTGATGGCAGAGGGGTAGGGGTAGACCCTCTGAGATGAGAAAGCATCCTCAAGCCCAGAGAGCAAGGGCTATGGATGTCTGTGGCTGATAAACGGCAATGAAAACAACATACAGGATACAGCAGAATGTGAGAAGTCAACATGTAGGCTGAGATCAGGCTTCCCTGTCTAAGCTTAGACCTGGGTTCAAATCCTGCCTTTCCACATTTTACTGCTTGTCTCTGGTAAATCACACCTAAAAACAGAGTGTAAAGTAGACTACACATGGGAAGACTCTGGAGACAGATTGCTATGGCTTGAATCAGGGGGCTGGGGATTTAGCTCAGTGGCACAGTGCCTGCCTGGCAAGCGCAAGGTTGGGAGTTCAATTCCTGGTACTGGAAGAAAAACAAACAAAAACGAACAAAAAAAGCTATGGCTTGAATCTATTTCCACAATTTACCATGTATATGTAATCTCATAAAAGTTACTTAACCTCTTTGTGCCTCAGTTTTCTTATCTGTAACGTGGGAGTGAGGATAGTTGTTGCCATATATCCTTGCTAGGAGCATTACATGATGTTAAAAGTGACTGGTGCTGATATTAACTGGACCATGATATAGGTCCATGCTAAATGTTCTATTTAGAAGAGTGTCTGGCACATAACAAGCATGGTGTCAGACAAATAGATCTCTTTCATAGGACTGTTGTGGGATTTTAAAGATACAATATCTGAGAACTGCATGTTGCTTGTGCTTAGTGAATATCTATGTGCTCTCCTTGTGATGAAGACATATTTTACAAACCAGGATCCTCCATCGTTTAGTCATTTGTCTGACACTGCTCCCCACAGGCCTGCTTTGACTCAATCCCATGCTGGGTACTGCAGCTCAAGCCTCGCTATGCTGGCTCAGGACTGCGTCCCCTGGGTGTGGGCAGCACATGGTATGCATTCCAACGTGCTTTCTAGTGCATGAGCCAAGGATCCTGAGAACAACAGAAGTCACTGATGGGATGGGGGTGGGAAGGAGTGCTCTGGCCACTGTGTGACCTTGGCCAGGCCCCTGGGAGTCTCTGGCCCAAATCCTCATCTGTAAAGGAGGATGATATTCACGTCCTTTGTTCTCACACAGCTGCTGTGAGCATGAAAGGAATTTAGTGCTTGCATAGAGGAGGAATAAGGTAACACTATAGGATGGCATAATCATGTAGCCAAAGAAGGGATTTTATGGGACAAACTCCAGAGTGTCCAGGAAGCCAGATCCAGACCAGCTGGTGAGGGAAGCCTCCCCACAAAGGTGCTTTGCTTTCATCTGTGTCTCCCAGAACACAGCTTTCTGTGTAATCATTCATCAGCCTGGCCCTGGCTGCAAGAAGGAAGGCAAGCAGGCCCGAACACTTTGGGGAGGCCAAATTTGGACATGTGTTAGGAGCTTGGCTAATGCAGGGGGTAGAATGTGGCCAGGGACTGCGAAGGGGAAGGTCTCCACTCTTCACTGCCTGGTGGTGACATCGATGGCCAGAGTCAAGTCCAGCCGGTCTCCTTCCCAGGCTCAGGGGATCACTATGGACACAGACAATGTACTTCCTTTTCTCTACGGTGAGCTCTGGGCTCTAAGGATGGGGGATGGGAGGAGGCTGCTTCTCAGACAGACCTTTGGGGCTAAAATAATGATGGGAGAAAAGTCCCACCCCAGCAGTACTTCCTGTGGGTTCAGAAGTGCTTCCCATTCATTATTCATTCTTTCCTCTCTCCTGCTAGAGTTCAGAGTCTGGCCAGGGATGGGAGAGGGCAGGTAGGAGGTGGGTGTACTGACTATATGGTTGGAGGGTCTGTGGTCAGGGAAGGCAGAGAGAAATCTGGTCAGGCGGAGTAGACGCCAGAGGAGACAAAGCCCTAGAGGGCAGAGTGCTGAGGATGAATGTGCATTGTGCACTGCACGGCTGTGGTCGGTGCGATTCACAAAGGCTGTTCAGCACTCCACTTGGGGGACTGTGAATGGGGATGTGCCTTGGACCAGGAGGCAGCTGCTTAACACACCAGGTGCCTGTCTTCCCTCCCTGGCAATAACATCCTCCCTCCCCTCAGCCACTGTAAAGTATGAATGGTGCCCCCTGGAGTGGGGAACATGCAGTGCAGAGCCTGCAGCCAGGCAGCAAAGCCAGGCCACTGGCCTGGTCTGCCCAGACACGAGGATGTAGAGAGGAAACATGAAAACACCCTTGTCCTCCCTGCTGGAAACACCTTGATAAATCTCATTTCCTGAGGCTACTGTGGGAAACTGGTAGAAAACAAGTCAAAGCTGCATGTTAGGAACAAGGTAAAGCAAGAGGCCCTTCCCAGGCTCCCCCAGCGCACAACGCTTTTTATACAATGGCCTCATTCAGCAGCTCCTCCAGATCCCACCTTGGTCCAACAAAGACAAAGACAGAAGCCTGGAATCCCACACCCAGCAGTGGGTGCACCTAATACAACACGTGTGTGTGCTGTGGTGGACCCAAGCTTGTGTTCTCAGAGCATGGCCAATATCCCACAGGCTCCAGGGTGCACATGTCTGGGAGCAGATGTACACATGGTATCAGGGAACAGGTGAACCCCAGAGCTGGTAAAACTGAAAGGGAAGGTCTGTGCTGGATGGCCAAGGAGTGCCTGATGGTAGACCAGAGGTAAGACTTCCTGGAAAATGAGGTGTGGCATGTAATGGGGGCCCACAGAAAACACAGCGTCGCGGCAGCCTCAAAATCTCCCCCACTATGGCTCCACGGCTGAAACCCAGCTGTGTAGACCTCAGCGCTAGCTTGACCGTAAGGGAAGCAGACAGGACCTAGATCTCACTTCCTGGAGGAAAAGTCCAGGTACAGCCCCTGTGAATAGGTTCTTGTGGAGGTCTCAGTCTGATGAGAAAGCCGGCTGCCTTGCTTATGTGGCTCAATGCAGTGATGGAGACCAAATACCACCCAGTCAGGTGGGGTGGGGAGCAGAGAAGTCCCTAAATGTTGGTGCTGGTGACACGTGTGCCCAGCAGCTAAATTTCCCCCACCCTAAGCCCAAAGTGAGGGTAGGATCCCCGAGGTTGGAAGGCACTCCTCCACCCCCAGTGCCGGCCAGCCTGCCAGCCCAGCTTCTGGTAATAAGCAAGGACTGAAGATAGCAGCCAGAGCAGGCCGCGTGGGAAGAACTGGGTTATAAATAGGCCTGGGACCAGGCCTTCCGGGGAGAGCAGGGGTGCCTTACAGCTCAGAGCTCTAGCGCCCACAAGGCAGAAAGAAAAGAGACGCTGATCCCACTTTCCTGACCTACCACTGTGCCTCCCGGAGCTCAGCTTCCGGGCCCTGGAAAAGAGCTCTCTCCGGCACAGCCTCAGTGTCCCTCTGAGTCACTCCTCCTGAGAATGTGTATCTTTGCAGATACACTCGACCCTCATCTGACTGGTCCCGGCTGTCTGGTCTCCCACCTTCAGGTGCTCTCCAGGGTAGACAGCCGCTGAGTCCCCACCCCGACCCCCATCGGGGTCTCTGGCCCCTCCTACCTGCAAACGCAGCGGAGCAGTAGGCATCGCTGATGTCGGTGTCCGGGGTGTGGACATTCTCGGCATAGAGGATAAAGACCCTCAGCATGACTGGCGCGCGTGGGGCCCGGTGTGCCCGGGAGCAGAGGACTGGGAAGGGACCCCGGGAACCGAGGCGCAGCTCGTGGGTCTCCTCCCCGGAGAGGGCTCTTTGGCTCCCGGCTCAGAGCTGCTTGCTGCTCTTAAAGGGGAATAGACCAGCCCGGGCTGCTCCAAGGGCCTAGGCTCGGTCCCCGCCCCTGGCTGCGCTCAACTCCGGGAAGCGGGCGTTGCAAGAACAGGGGCTTCTGCTCATTTTCCACCCCCGCAGACCTACTTGGGCTCCATAGAGATGTAATCTAATGCTGAGGCCGGCCGCGGGCTTTTCCAATGACACGGCACTTTGCACCTGGCGGTGGAACAGCCGACTGGGCGGCGGCCGCGATGGCCCGGGGGCTGGACCACGACTCTAGAAACCCAGCGTATTCCAGATCCAGCTCCCGGACTGCAGGAATGCTCGGCCCCTTTCCTGACCTTCCACTTCCAGCTGAGGGCTGCGCCTAGCGGGTCCTGACGCAGGGATTCAATAATTCTCTCTCCAGAAGGCAGCTTTACCACCCGCCCCGGGCAGGACCGGAGAGCCGGACCGGGGAAGAGCTGGAGTACAGGCGCAGCTCTGGTGCGTTCCCTAGGAGCTTAGAATTTCGTTGAGGAGCAGCTCCACTGACTTTACCTTCTCTTTTCTGGTAGTAAAAGTAACACATGCTAATTTTAACACAAAGAGAGTGAAGAAATAAATCTGGTTCTTAGAAAAAAAATTGACATTTGAATATTTACCAATCCAGATTTTTCTGTCTGAATGCATGTAAATTACAGTATTGTTTTTGTATTTGAGTTCAGAGGACACAAGCTTCACAACCTGCCCCTCACCCCCGCCCCCCCCACCCCCGCCTCCAGTGCTGGGGATGGAACCCAGGGC